ACTCTGGTTAAGGCAGTCTTCTTTATTCCTTCTACCAATGCAAATGCTATCTCTTCCGGACACACCCTCACAGACACACCCAGAAATAAGGTTTGGCCAACTATCTGGGCATCCCTTCGCCCAAACATGTTGACATATAAAATTAACAATCACAATTTGATATGAGGAAGAAATTTTCCCAGGAAAAAGCAATTCAACCATGAAATGAGCTGTCACGAAGGGCAGAGGACAAGATCCTTGGATTGACTTTTCTGTCTCTTCCAAATCTTCACCCACCAAAATCTCTCCATTGTTTCAAAGCACAGATCTAACGACAGCTTTTCCATGGTGCCTCCTTATGTCCTTCCAGAACAGTCTCTACTCTTATCCCTGTCGGCATCATGCCCGTTTACCTTTTCCATGTTATGTTATTTTTGCTGCTTATTAGGTCAGAGTCTACAAATGAACTACAAACCCTTTGAGAAGGAGTATTTCCTTGTATCCAGTCAGGGGCACCCTGCAGGAAAGATGACACTCAAACCATCTGACTGAGGAGATTTTGGTAAAGAATCTATTTATTAAAGTGGGAGCAGACCTAAAGCCAAAGCAACAGGAGATGGGCTGGCAACACCTAGGAGTCATTACTACCAAAAGCCTGCAGGGGCCATGGGGAGAGAGAAGGTACCAGAACACAGAACCTTGTGGTTAGACCTGCGGCTAGAGTGGTGGGAGAGGGTTGCCCCGCACTGGGGCCTTAGGCAGAGTAGCCCGTCACTGTGGTCCATGAGCTGAGCAGGAAAACAATCATCACAACCTTTCTCTTCTCCCAACCTCTGATGTCCTGCTAGGTCATCCCATCAACGACTTGCCAGAATACCAGGGATTTTTTTGACAAGGTCCATGTGGTACATCCTCCCGGGGTGCATAGCCAGGTAGAGAAGGATGGAGGGGATCTGGAGGGGAGAGTAGCAACTATCCAGCACATCTGATAACTCCTAAAATGTCTCAAATGTAAAGCAGGGTTTCCATGATGCTTGTGGACCGATACAGTTAACAGGAGCCTCGACAAGGCCTAATGACTCTAAAGATTTGGATGCCAACCATCAAGAGGCTGAAGGATGAATTGAAGGACCTGTGTGGGGCCTTTCATGCCTCCACGAGTCTATCAAAATTGCACTGCTGTCACATCTGAGGAGCCAGTATGACCATCCCTGTGTCTCCCTTTGCATGAGGGAGAAACGATTGAGGGGACCACCAGGAATTCATCATTCATAAGAGAAGCTGTTACTCCTCTCTGTGCTTAAAAGCAAAAAGTACTTTTCCCCCAAATTAAAAGAGAATCTGTGCTCTGAAACGCGAGCCAGTACAAAAGATAATTCAGCCATCAGCCTTCTCGTCCGCTAAATGCTATCGCAGCCACAAGTGCCAAATACTCAGACACACAGCTTGGGAATGATTCTTGCAAATAGAAAAGCACAGTGTGAGATGCTGATTTTATTCTGATCAAAAAGCATCCTGGGGTGGGCTGAACAGCCCTGGGTCAAGAAGAGGCCTCGATTTCTGGGGTGATGTTTATTGTTATCAGACAGAAGACGATACTTGCCGTGAAGACGCGGCTACTTGGCCCGCTCCTGCTGAGGGAAGCAAACGTGAAGTCGCTGGTCTTTCTCTTGGGGTCTTTACTCCCTACATTGAACCATATTTTTCATTTCAGTTGCACTTAACCTATCACTTTCTTCTTTAAAAGGGTGACTTATCAAGTAAAATCATCAACATCAAGGAATACTGTAGCATTACCAGGGTATACACACACACACACACACGCACTCACACATACACACACATACTCCAACTCTCCCCTGAGTCACGTCCCAAAAGCATGTGTAACCAAGGTCCTGTAACTAAGGACCACAAACTCACATCTTCCATTTGGAGCTTTTTTTTTTTCCAGGATTTGGACTGTGAGGTTTTTTTGGTTTTGTTTTTGTTTTTGTTTTTTTCATTCTGTGGTTTCTCCAGCATAAAAATTTTAAAACCTGTTGCGAGGGAGCTATAATTTCTACTCAACACTTCATGATTTGATTATGTAAAATGAAAAAAAATGTAATGAAGTTAATAGTACCTTATTCTTGCAGCACATGCTAAGGAATTTTTTTTCCTGTAAAATCTGAAAGTGGAAATTACCTCTGGGCCTTCTAACTCTCCAAAATACAGGTCATAATCATTACAGTGGTGGAATTTCAAGACTTCAGAGTTTAGTGTATTTCTCTTTCCTCTGTTCAGTTTTCCAAAGGCTCTTTTCTTACTGGGTTATTACAGAATGAAAGACAAGGACCCGAAGTGACAGGTAGGAAACCTCACTTCTACTCTTGGTTATACCCTAGTTGTGCAACCTCAGGAAAAGCGTTTAACCTTGCTGATTATTATCAATTTTTTCTGCAAAGTGAGGGGACCAGATAATCCACTCCCAATTTAGCAATCTACCGTATTAAAATAATACAGAATAGAATACAATTAAGTAAAATAATTATGCCTTGGGAATGAAGAGTGTGTAATATGATGTCAAGTGTTTCTCTTTTTTTTTTTTTTTCCCTTGTATTTCACAGCAACCTTGATGGAGAATTAGCCCTGTGTGCTTCTTGTCTAGTTATTTGTGTGTTTTCAGCATGGAGCCAAAGAGGAGGGCAAGGTCTTGGGTTCAAGTCCTTTAGGGGCCAGTTGACTTTGATCTCATCCCCTATCTCTCTTTCTGACAATCGTAGTAAAATTTACGCAAGGGCCTTTCACTGGGTCTCAACACAAATCTTGCTGTCATTGTCCCAGTGGCAGCATCTTATATGAGGAAAGAATGTAACAGTAAATCAGAGGGCGAAATCATAGGCACAGGGCCAAAGTCGTAGACTGATGAACAGCATTAAGCATCCCCATACACTGGGACATAGTCATAGGAGAGCACATTCTTTTTCAGGATTTTCCCAATATGCATGTGCTGATGTCACACGCAATGTGCCTCTAGGACATAAGGACGACATTTTACTAGTGTAAAAGCTCTCCTAAGCATCATTTAGAGAGATTTAACGGGATGATGTTTCACAGGTGGTATCAAGCAACACGTTCTCATTTTTACAATGTTCTTTGAAGCTGTAAGTCAAGAAATAGATTCAAAGCCCCCACAAGACTCAGGGGACATGTCACTGGGGACCAGCAAGCTTGGTCTAGGGTTTTCAGCTAGCACAGGTAATAGGATGGGCTTTGATTGATGCTCACAGTCAAATCTGTCCCTGAGGCGAATTTAAATGCAGGCAAGAATTCCACTGAAATTTCTCTAATTTTCAGGTGCCCAATGCCCTGGGGATAATCCACCTCCCGTCCCCCACCTGCCCCAGCCCAACCCTGCAGGCCAGCACTCTGTGCTCTGCATCCTTTTGTTTACCAACTCCCTCATCAAAATTCTGCTCAACTGGCTGACATCTGGGGATGATGCAAGACCTTTTATTAATGAGGACTACTGCGAATGGTTGAAAGACAACAGCGGAGCACGCTTGTTTTTCTAGGGTCTTTGCATCTTCTCCGGGACGTAAGGCAGAATTGAGGGCTCTAGGAATTAATCGGCAAGGATGGCACTTTTGAGTTAAGGGAATCCATCTTGTGCTGTTCCTCTCATAACACGAGCATCCTTGTCCCCGGCTATGCATAAGACAGACCCTACTGGCAGGTTGCTATGTAAGAAGTATTTTCTCTGGCAAAGAAAAAAAGGAGAGGCTAAGAAATTATCTTTTTATTCTAAATTTCCCCAGAAATTGCAAAGGGTATAGACACATGACACACAAACACACACACACACGTGTACATGTGCACACACGTACTATTGTCACCACACTCAACCTGGAGATAGAAAGACCTCAGAGATGAGAAGACGATCCTTCTGCTGGGAGAAGTATTTAAAATTCTGTAAGAGTTCTTAGCCTCTGAAGGTATGTTGCTCTGTGCACAGCCCAGAGACACGGAAGTTGACTCTAAAAATAAGTGAAGAACTAGACACAGAACTTCAATGTAATTATTTCCTCAGTTCCCAGAAACTCACATTTAGGAACAGTCTGTGATGTGAAGCCTCAGCAGTCTTGGGGTGAATAGCTAATCTAGACACTGACAAAGCCAGACCTACAGCAGCAGAGTTGGAAGAGGACTACTGATAAATCGATTCCACAGATATTGTATCGGACACCTCTTCTGACTCCAACTCTGAGCCAGGCGTGGGGCGTACACAAATGAATAACACATGTCCCAAAACAACACGCAAAAGAAGGAACTAAGCTACATGTCTATTTCAGTAGATGACCAAAAGAGAAAGGAGTCCCTTGCTTCACTTGATGTCTGGCTCAGCTCACATGCATCACTGAATAGGTGACCCACACATCTGAGCTCAGAGACTGTGAAAGAATGGCCAACCTTCAGAAATCAGTGACTTAGGCCATCTCCTTTGACTGACCAGGTACTCATATGCGAATGCAAACCCAACCAAGTTGTTTAATGAAAAGAGACATTAAAACTTTTACAAAGAGTTTATGGATCATTGAACATATTTTACATACCTAGGAAGATCTCAGAGATTTTCTTCACTCTTCAGTATTTGAAACTCTACTGAATTCTTGTTCAACTTACTCCCAAAGTGAAGATAAATAGGTGATGGAACACTATATATAGGCTTGGCACTTGGCATCAGCTGTACAGTAGTGTTTTTGTATAGGTTAAAATCTACTTCAGCTGGAATTAATGTAATTATATATAATGTTGACAGATTATGGCATTTGCCTATTAAGACGCTATACAAACATTCCAATAATTTGCTGGCTTTTGACTTTGTGAAAAATAAGTGAAATAAAATCCCTGGGGATATTGCTAATGGGGTAACTGGAATCAAGGTTTCAAAAGCACAGGACCAGGTTCAGGAAGTAACAGTCAAAGAATAATGCATTTTAAGCCAAAACATATAGAGGGGTAAATGAATATTTAGTACTTACCACAAGACTGCTATCTAGAGACAGCCTTTTTCCAAAGTCTCTTTTCTCAAGCTGTCTCTTTCCCTCCATGGGTGAAGTTATTTATTTTCCTTTGTGATTTATAAGAATTCCCCTTCTGTTTCCAGGGTCACTGCAAAAAGCGAACATGTGTTTTACTGAGCGAACAGTGTTTAGACCCTTGTTTTTAACTTTCTAACCAGGAACAAGGATCGAAGCCCAAAATACCCAAATCATAAGCTGAGAACTGGGCTCTCTTAACCCAACCAGTTGCCAATATCAGAGTCGCCTTTATGGAGGCCCCTGTGTTTTCACATGTTTTGTAATGGAGTTGGGGAATGGGTTTGCAGGTCGAATCAGCAGACTGCGGAAAAAAGCAAACAGTCCATTTCATGCCACGATTGCTTCACACCCGACCTCTCTCCATCCGGCAGGATCATTCTGTTACTGTGCACATAATGCTGTCTGCAAATTCCATGAGATCAAACCGGCAGAGCCACGCTCCATATCCAAGAGCTGCTGAGTCCGAGACCCAATGCAGGGAAACTGACATATGTATGTTACTGTCAATATTTAACTTAAAAAATACTTCATTTAAACATATTTGAGGAATCTGATAAGATGCCTTGCCTTTGGGACAGGTTGATAAATGGTGATGACATCATTATTGTCAATGAACATTGGAGCCCCCACTGCATGTCATCAAATCAGAGAGTAGAGGAGGAGGGTATAGCTCAGTGGTAGAGTGCATGCTTAGCATGCATGAAGTCCTGGGTTCAATCACCAGTACCTCCATTAAATTAATTAATTAATTAATTAACTAACTAATTAACCTAATTACCTTCCCCACTCTGGGAAAAAAAAATCAGATAGAATTAATCCCTGCACTCCATTGAGATTGCTTATTCTAGAATGATCTAGAATAATTCAGTATTCTGGTTAGTATGGATGTATCACATGTATTAAGCACTGGCTTAGTTTTCACCAAGATGTAAAACACTTGAAATAAAAAAAAAATTGGTTTAGCACAGGGAACTATGTTCAATATCTTGTAGTAACCTATAATGAAAAAGAATATGAAAATGAATATATGTGTGTATATGTATGACTGAAATATTATGCTTTACATCAGAAATTGACACAACATTGAAAACTGACTATACTTCAATTTTTAAAAAGGAAGGAAAAAAAAAAAAGAAATAGGTTTGAACCCAGGCTTTCCTATCCACTAGCCAAGTGACCTGGGACAAGTCATTTAGGCTCTCTGAAGCTCATCTTTCTCAACAGCAAAAACATAACAATGGCAATGAAATTATGTACGTGAAATGGTTTAAAGGCAATAAATTACAGCTCACATGTAAGTTATAATTATGCACAGATTACATTAAAAACCAGTTAACCTTAAATACAAGTCAACATAATTTAATATGTCTTTGATGATTCAGAAGGTACTGTGAGGTACAAAAATTGCTCATAATCAGCACAAAACACATTTTATATCAGCCATTGTACTGCTGATATAGAAGAGGTGAACTTAATAAAATACTATACCAATTTCTAATAAAATTGAGAAGAATATTTTTTAGAATTATCTCAATTGCTCCAAATTTAATGAGGATGCAACAGAGTTGACCTCACAGCCCACACACAGTATGTAGCCGCCTTCTCTTGGTTTCCTCCGCCAGGAAGCGGGTTGAGACAGCTGTACCCCAGGCAGGGTCTGCCCAAGTTACAGTCAATTGAAGGAAACTTCTGGGCTTCTTTTCCAGTGTAGGGACCCTCCTCCATCTTAGTCATTCCATCTCTCACCTTCAGGAATACTCATTTTAATTCATTACTGGTTCACTCAGAGACTCCTAGTCCATTCTGAATTCAGGATAAAATCCAATTTTTGCAACATCATGTTCGTCTACTTCCTGCCAACCAGTGTTTTACCATCCCCCTCACACGCTAAGCACATTCCTGAGACCACGCGTTTGATCATACTTTTCACCTCCATCTGGTCTAATCCTCCCTTTGCCCTGGTGCCTGGCTCAAGTCCCACCCTCTTCACAAGACCTTCTTAGTCACTCTATTTGGCAATGATTCATTCCTTTTGCTCCCAAGTTTCAAAGAAGTCCTGAGGGACTTTCCTTATTAATCACTATCATCACCTGAGACAGTTCTTTACATACAGTAAGTTCTGAATATTTGCTTATCGGTAAAATTTTTCAGAACAAAATTAGTTCTACGACGATACATTAGGTAAAACCATTAGTCAACTGAGATTTGTTTGAGGGAGCTTATCTTACCTGGTTTCAGCTGTTCCCACCCACTTTGCAGCCCCCTCAGCATCTCAGTGACTGTAGGCACTGGCAGCTCAGAATACTTTGTGTAATGATGAATCCAGCTACCGAGACAACTCAGGCCCTGAGACTTCCCCTCCATCAAAAAACATGCCCTCCTAAGTCTTGTTCCAAAGAGCCTTAAGGTTGGGTAAGTCACAGTCAATAATACTTTGGCATTTAGCACATATTTATTAAGTGCCTAATGAAGGGAGGACTTAGTACTTTGGTGTTGGTGACAAAGTCACATATGAATGAGACCAAGTCCCTGCCTTTGTGGAAATTATATTCTGTGGTAGGATATAGAGCATAAACAAGCAAACCACTCCAAAATGTGATACGTAGTTGCTACAAAGGAACAACCCCCAGTTGGTGTAACAGAGGGTCAAGTATGTGGAAGGGGAGAAAATTAAAGCTAGAATGGTAAGGGTAGGAGACAGCCATGTAAAAACATGGGTAAAGAGCATTATAGGTAGAGGGACCAGTCTTTCAACTGGGAAGGAGCTGGAAAAGAGGTTTGTGTGCCCCTGAACAGGGGATCAGTTTCTTAGGAACAAAGAGCTAGGGAGAGAGTGTGTGGGGAAAGTTCTGAGATATAAGCGACACCTAGATCATGCACGGTCTTGGAGGCCAAGGTCACTCATTTGTTCTAAACACAGTGGTTAAATCTTAGGGTTGATTCTCTGCATCTTACTCGCTGATTATGGTAAACAAATTATTTAACCTATTTAAGCTTCAGCTGATTCATCTATGAAAGGATATTAACAATAGGACCTTCTTCATAGTAGGGTTGTTGTGATGATTAATGTGATGATCCACTTAAAGATCACACACAGTAGGCAAGCTTTCAATGTTAGATATACTGATTATCCCTTCTGGTAAATATGATTAAACTCATTAAGCAGCAGCTCTAGAGACTGGATTTCATGGTGCATAATAGGCTTAGCGAGGCTGTTGTTTTGAGAAACAGAGATGTTTTTGACAGTTCTCAGTCTAGTCTGCTATGTAGAAGGCTGACTGAACAGCTTTATCTGGTCAATTTCTTTTCATACTATATGATGCTAATTATTACAGGCAGAGATTGACATTCAAAAACTCTTAGCAACTGATATGCCACAGATACTGACCAATCGGAAGGACACAGTCAATGAAAACAAGCAGTGCAGCTGCAGCAATGCACCCTGGCCAGTTACCAGCCTAAGTGCATGTACTACCTCCAACTTCAAGACCTTGAAAATGTGTGAATTAAACCATAAAACAATCATGGACAGGATCGAAGTAAGTTATCCAAGAGGAGCAAAGCAAGGCCATCCAAAAGGAAAAAAAAATGGCAGGCAGGACGAGTCAATATGGAAAGAAGAGGGGCACACAAAGGCAAAGTCAGGAAGGCTGATACTCCCCGCTGCCGGGGCTGTGGGGAAAGCACATGTCCTCACGTACATAAACCCTGCAAGCGCCGCGGGTCTAGAGGGAAAATGAGTATGTCAGATCCCAAAGACACTCTGATATGACACTCGCCATTCACATCATCCACCAAACTCCCTTGCTCAGAGACCACCATCATCAAGCAGCCTTCTGATTGTATTTGATTCCCATGTAGTTTTATTTACAGAAGAAGAATGTGCAGATCAGCAAACGTAAGTAGGCAATCTTTTGGAAAGTTGCATTTTTAGTACAAATTTCCAATTTGGCATCTGACTGTTTATATTCATCATTTACGTATTTGCTTAGTATATTAGTTTGTGTGGCCATAACAGAATAATACTTTAGACTAGGTGGCTCAAACGACAGAAATTTCTTTTCTTATTGTTCTGGAGGCTGGAAGTTCAAGATCAAGGTACTGGCATGGTTGGTTGGTTTCTGGTGAGGCACCTCTTCTTAACTTGCATTTGGCTGCCTTCTCTGTGTATCCACACATGGCCTTTTCCTTTGCACACATGCTTCTGGTATCTCTTCCTTTTCTTATAAGGACACCAGTCTGATTGAACGAGACTCCCTACTCTAAATACTTCATTGAAATTTAATTATATCCTAAAAGGCCCTATTCTCCAAATATAGTCACATTTGGGGTTAGGGCTTCAACATATGAATTTTGGGAGAATAACATTTCTGTTTGTAAGAGTTAGTTTCAGTCAGATTTCAAAGCCTGATCACATCTCAGTGATCAAATAAAATCAAATTTCTGAGTCTTAAAAAACTGAGCAAAAACTCCCTGTGTCAGTGGCTACTCCCAGACTCCATCCCTCCTTGCTGGTTATTTGACTGTTGGATTCCTCTACCACCACCACCCACCCCTGCCTGCCCTGCTACAACTTCTCCGTATCACAGGCCTAGAGGTAAAAACTACGTTATTGAGACTTCTTAGTCAGTGGATCAGGCTGGATTCTGCCAATAGGAGGCAGAGCGAGATCAGAACGTAACAGGAAGGGAGAAGGCATTCTGCTTCTAGCCCTAGACCTGCAGGATCAAGAGCAGGGGACTACAGGCTCCAGGAAGTTCTGTGATTCCTCCAACCACTCATCCTAAGAAAGGGCAATAGCTGCTTCCCAGTCTTCAAGTACCACCACTGGATATCTTTCGCTCCTCCAGACCTTCTAAAAAGCTTCATAACCAATTCCTTGCATTAAATCCCTCTCTGCTTGAAATATCTAGAGTAGTTTCTCTTTTTCAGGGTTGACTGTGATTGATACGCACACCATAGAGATACCACTGGACAGGCAGCCAGCCTTCTTTGTGCAATTCCTGGCTTCCTTCATGTGAGCCTTCTGAAATATCAGCATGGAATTAAAAATTCGACTAGGCATTTTGC